TCTTGTATAACAGTCAGCCATATATGGGTTTCTCACCTTCATACACATGAGCATTCCACTTTTTCACTTTGTTAATATTGTTTCCAGGAAAACAAATCTAGGACTCAGTGTCTGTAGTCCATACTAAATGAATACAAATAAAAAAAAATACTTATGCCAGATTATAAAACCATTTGGCTTTGTACGGCCAAATCTGTAGATTTGTACTCAAATTTCCAAATCTACAAAATTAAGATATATAGATCCCTATTAATTTGTTACTCATGTGCAATTTGTATCAGAATCTTAAATATTTTAAGTAGAGACAAGATTGGTCTAATTTAAAACTAACGGGGAAAATTATTGGTTTCTTGTATCTTGACATTTTATTTTTCATGGTTTGCCTGTGTGCTTTGAATATAAACTTCAGTGTCAATATTTTTTTGTGAGTTTTGTAATTTGTAACGGCTGTGGAATTTTTCCAGGTGTATTTAATGGCAAAATCTTATCTTGAACTGCATTTTGAAAGCTCAAGTGTAGTTTAATTTGCTGGGAACAGGAGGAGGGAAGGAGTGCCATTCTTTCCTTAGGGAGACAGCAGTTCCTTGTGCAACATTAACTTAAAAGAATATGAGACACATATATGTTGCCAACAGGAATGTAGATGTATAGAGTTCTGAAAATAGTAAGTGTCAATAGGGAAGGGTTGCAGATGCCAGAAGAAAAATGTAAGCTCCCAAGCACACTCACTCTTTTTATTTTTGCCTTGTCCAATGCCAAGACGGATGTTTAAAATTCAGGTTTTCCCTAAAAAGTGATTATTAAAAAAAGTCTGACTTCAGAACAGATGTGTTTTCTGTGTGTATTCAGAATCATATTTATTTGTTGCCATAACTCTGTTTGAATATACTATTTACACCTGTTACACATGTGCAGCCAAGAGCAATGCGAGGCAGAAACCAAATTTGGCTTCTCACTGGGCATGAGCTGTGGAGCTGCTGTACAGGGGCAGCTCTGCCAAGAGGCTCGTGGGCAGCAGGGTCTCTTTATCCACTCCCCTTGGGAGCACAGCAGTCGTGCTCTGCAGCTCTTTCCCCTCTGTGAAACACTAGCCTAGAAATCTGTAACAGGGCATTAAACCACTTAACCTGCAATGGCAGCAAACTGAACCAATAATTACTTCTTCAGTCTGTGTTAGCCACTGTGTTCACTCTTCTTTGTAGCAGTCTTTTCATATAGTTGAGGACTGTCATCATGTTCCCCTGTGAGGTTCTTCTGTCTTATACAAAACACAACTAGATCCTTCTACCTTTCTTCTTTTGAGTCTTTTGGGGTTGGTTGCTTTGTTTGGATCTGTCCTTAAACTCATTGATTCCTGTGGCTCTCAGCTAATTCCTTTAAGAGTGGGTGGCCCAGACTTGGCCAGAGTACTCAAGAAGTGGACAGACTATTCCAGTTGAAGTCCTTCCAAAGATGTGTTTCCTGGAGTGGAAGAGTATTGTATCTAAGACATCTCCCTAATTTCCAAGAGCATTGGATTGCTGACATATTTGCTTTATGATCTAGACCATTTTCTACAGTATTGCTTAGCCAGTTATTCCCCATTTTGGTTTTGTGCTTTTGTCTCTTGACTTTACTGAATTTCATCTTCATTTCAGATTGTTTCACCTATCTATCACAATAGTTTTGAATTCCAGTTCTGTCCTGGAAGGTATCTGCATCCTTTCAAGTGTGATTTCATGTACTGATTTTTTATGACAGTCTATTCTGCCTTCCAAGTAATTAAACAAAAATAAAGGAATTTGGAAAAAATGCCATGGCCTCAGTTTGCCTCATATTCCAGCTGCAAGATCTATCACAGGCAAGTGGAAAAGCCTCATTTGGCTCGCAGACTCTTAATCATGTAAGTGTGTAAGGTGTAAAGAAGAACCCAGCTTGACTGTCAAATCACACAGTGAACATACGGGACTTTTAGGTGGAGGAGGAAAAAGAACATCATTGTACTTAAAATCTGATTACCTTTGCCAAAGAAATCAGAGTCAGGGAAAAATATTGAAACTGTAGGATTCCATTTACTTGGAGACCCTATTCAGAATTGAGCCGTGCTTCAAATTAAAAATAATACCAGGGGTGGAGGGGATCAGAGGGAACAATGACAGTTGTGGAAGAAGTCCTTTTGCTGCTTGGGTACCTGGCCACAGCATCATGGCATCTTCACTTCTGACCCAACTTGCTGGCTGTCTCTGCCCTCTTCTATCCTGTGACCTATTCTTTAAGTTTATTTTAATACAAAATATTTTTAGAGAATTAAATTTTTTTTTGTTATGTTTAGGCCATTATTTCAATGTTTGAGCATGTGAGTGCACTACGTGAAAAGGAGGTTGCCATGGTAATTTCTCATTATTGTTGAATAGAAAAATAATTACTCTGGCAAAATCCCCCGTAACCTGTCAAAGCATAAGTTAAAGATGCCGGAGGGCAGCCTTGCCTTCACCATTCCCTTTTTGCAAAAAAAAAAAAAGGATTTTTTTTTTTTTTATGATAACTGGATCCTATTTCGGTTTGGCTGGGGACACCTCATTTGGTTTTGTTCACATTTGGCTTTGAGAGTAGGTGGGCCCACCTGTGACAAGGGTGGGGCAGAAGATTAATCAGCAGAGCATTTCCAAGGTTGACAGGATTTATATACTCTTTTTTAAGATCAGATTTTCTTTCTGTGGGTGGGGTGTTGCATTTTATATTTTCCCTTATTCCTCACCTAAATTATGAAAATAATAGCTTAATAATAGCAAAATAAAAGCTTAAGATAAAGACCTTGGACTGTGTTCAAACTGTGAGAAAATTTGGGTATTCCATCTAACCAGGGAGGGAATCCACAGGAGTTCCAGTTCCACATTTTCCTTGCTTTCAAGACTTCTTGGGAGCCAGCGTGCATGCGGATATGTGTGGTTTTGAGGTGAGGCCCTGCACTTTCCTTGCTCTTCTCTATCTTTCCCTTGTGCAGTTCCATCCTGGCTATGTGGTGCTCTCCTTGTTCCCATGACATTGGATGCTCCAGTGACACTCAACTACTGCATTAACAGGAGCTTCAAATGTGATGTGTAGCATTGCTGAAATTCTTCCCTCCACTCTTCCTTCCCTGTGACAAGTATGTCCAAAAGGTTAAATGGTACTGCAGCCTCTCTTTAGTCAAATGGCAGAGTGGTAGCTCATAGCTACTTGTTGGACAATACACTCTAGTAGGGGCTTGTAATGCAGCCCCCCAGGCTGTGCTGAGTGCAGGGCCCCGTGCAGAGGGGTGTTGAACACCTGTGTGTATGCTGAACACCTGTTTCATGCTTACCACTGTGTATTTCGTGCTTCCTCTTGTGGCTGCTTGGCTACTCAACACAGCAGTGTTTGCACATGGGAACACTCATCAGGTTTACACCAGGAAAGAACAACAATTCTCTGCGAGAGCAGATTTCTGAGATGTGGGGACAGCTTTGATACCTCTTTGTGTGTCTGAATGGCAGGGCTGTATGGTCCTGTCATTGCCAGGTGGGATGAGCCTTGGCAGGGAAAGTGTATTACAGGCTCTGACTCAGACAAGAAGTCTCTCTAGGGTCTCTCTGGTAGGAACCAGATTGTTAAAACCTGTCCTTACCATTTCTCTATTGGATGCTTGACAAAAAATCAAAGTGAAATTGAGAGGCAGGAAGTATACCTTGCTTAACATTTTGGAGTGAAATCCAAAAGTAACATCATCAGGAAATACAGCAGCAGAACTAGAATCCCCAGATTGCTCTGCATATATATATATATATATAAAGAATATGATAGATGCATATTTCCTTTTAAGTTGGAATTTTATCTCAGGATTTTTTTATTTTTTTTTTTTAAGCAAACAAATGTTTTTTTGGCTTAGATCTATATTGCTCAGGCATGAAGAGCTCAGGCCTCACTGTGCTGAGTGAACCTGGCCTTGCACACTAGAAAGGAAGGTGCTGTGAGTGGGATAGATGGTTCTGAGGAGTGCATCTTCAGAAGTGTATTTCCAGCTTTGTTACCTCACTTGTGTACTACAAGTGATTTAAGTCTTGGGGCCTCAAAGGAGCAAAAGAGACTGGACCAAAAATCTCTAATCCAGCTATTAAATATATGAATAGCTTTTGAATGAAATATTTGGTGGTTTTTTTGTTGCCCAGCTTCTGTGAAAACCCTTGCAAGCTGGACCACTTCTCAGGTGCTAGACATTGAGGTTTGAGTGCCTGTTGTTGATCATCCAGGTCTGAAAATGCCTGGTTCAATTGTTAAAGTCAAGAAACTACCTGTAGTGCTGCGTTGGTTGGTATATGTTTTACATTGTTCACTCTTTTAATAATTGCCATGTTCCAGCTATGTGAATTTCTGTAAGTCTAAGTATGCACAAGTCATCTTATATTTTTCACTTCTTGTATCACACTCAAAGATTTCTCACAGCAATTTCATTTATGTAACTGTCTGGTATTTCATCAACCTGAAGTAGCATTGTATTTATATTAAATGCATTGGAGTAGAATGACCATTATATTTAGTTTCTAAATAACTTTCTTGTCATCTTGTGCTGATGATGAGGTTATGTAACATTATAGAATTAAGTACTGAGGGATTTTTCATTACCAGGATCAAAGATTTGAGACACACAACTCAGAAAAGTAGGGAAAACTCATAATTGCTTTATTTGCAACTGATTTATAAAACCATATCTAACATTTGGAAAAAAAAAATGTTATGGAAAAGAAAGTTTTTACATATTTGTATGCTGGATAAAATGGAAGACAGTTTATTATATAGTAAATTAAACACTTCAGGTTTTTTCCTTAATTAGAACCAGCACTTTATCTAGGAAAATTAGTTTGAAATATCATATAGACATCTGTACCCCAAAGCCATAGGTGAAGAAGCCAAACCAGGTGTGATCCTGTTGAGTTTCTTTTACAACATATGAACATATTTTCATTTTGCCTCCTGTTAAGTGAATGATCTGTTGCTTCCTAGGATAGTGACAACCTCTGGTGGGATGCCTTTGCAACTGAATTTTTTGAAGATGATGCAACCTTAACACTTTCATTTTGTTTGGAAGATGGACCAAAGCGATACAGTAAGAAATGTGTATTTTTTGTTCTAATGTTAAGTATAAGTTTCTAAAAACAGTTTATCTGTACAAGACAGATGCAACCCTGGCAATGACAAAGTCACTTGTATATATTTAGTGACTATTAAGTTACAATAAAGAATTCTATGAATTTGGAATCCATTTTTTATGGAATTCCTCTGAGTTTTATTACATGAAAATATTTCCTAGTGGAATGAAACAAATAATAAAATATAATCTTTGGATTTTTTATTTTTTAATCAATGTGCTTTGTGGCTGTGCTTGTGCTCTTTGGTAATTTGTCTTCTGCAAAAATTCAAGTGTTAAGTTTTGTGCGCAAAATTGTTCGCAGAAAGGGAACTTTGTAGCAAAAATCAATATTTTTGCTGGAAGGACTTCCAAAATTAAAGAGGGATCAAAAAACCAACAAATTAAAATCTATATCCTTGTTGATGTAGATAAGGATTATTCCATCTACTGTGTGAATCTATGCTGCTTGCACATATTAAGGACAAGCCTTGGATACTGTCTAAGCAGCAGTAGAAGTCTAGAATACTCTCAATCAAGCACTAAATGAAAGTTTGACTAAAAGTGAAGCAGTAAATAAATCTGATGGCATTGGAATCCATTGCCTGCGTACGCCGAGCGGCAAAAAGGAATAAAATTCATCAAACAAATTGTTTGAAGTGAATAATTTGCTCAGCTTTGGCACCAAGCAATAGAGAGAGAAGTAAACATTGTAAAACTGCATTGCCAATTGTTTGACTCCATTCAGAGTGACCCCTGATTCATGGTGACAGATTGTGCTCTCCACTTAATGTTCTGAATCTTGCGAGGTTCTTCTTTTTCATGAGAGTGACTGATTGTCAGTGTATCACTCACATACTTCTAATTCCTATTATCAATTATCTCAGGTATTTATTTGACAAGTGTTACCTTCTTCTGGAGAAAAAATAACAGCCTCTTTGAATGCATGTTTCTGGGATTAGTGTTGACAGAATTACAGTTTCTTGCCTTTCAAAGCAAGTGATAACTCTCTAAAGGTCCTCAAATTACAGCCTATAGCAACGTTGGTAACAGCTGATCTGTCCTGATTAGGTTGAGTCAACTTGTCAGATATCAGATTTGCTAGTTGTGTTATCAGTCCAGAAGGCACAGATACATCAGTAAAAAAGCAATTAATGTCCAGTTAGATCAGAGGGAGTTGTGATTCTGGAAAACAGCGCTGCATATGAAAGAATTTGTCAATGTGTAAAATACTCCCGTTGTCACAAATGCTTGATAATGGTTGTATTATCTGTAACTGGGACAGTTTGGCATGGGGTAATACTGTGATTCTTAGCATTATTGCTGGTGAGAATGATTGAGATATCAAGTTACTATAGTCATGCCTTAAAAAGTGAGTAGTACACAGAATTTTTCCTTTGGTTTTAATTTCTGACCTCCGCACAAACTGTTGCTGCTTTTGGTTTATTCTAAGCAGCTGGAGTTGAAGCTCCACATTAAAGGCTCTTTGCTGTTAATTCATATTTCCTTTCCTTTGTTAGTTAATATTTATGTAATACAGAGCTATATTATTAATGATGATTTTTGACATGAGAAGAATTCCAACTCAGTGAATCTCTGAAGAGCATGCTTGTGACTGTTCCAGTTTGAGACTTCCATTGCCTTCTGAGAAGGCTTTGAAAGCAGTCTTTAGGCCTCTGTGCTGTCCAAGTTCCTGCTTGAGGACACCTTTGGCATTGCATGTGGTGGCTGCAGAGTGGAGGTTGCATGTTAAGACTAGCCCTCTCTTCCTAGCTGGGAACTTTGTGTCCAAAACCATGGCCAGGAGTTGAGAACAGAGAAGTTTGCTCCCCTTACAGGTTTCTGTTTTGCTTGCCCAAACCATTCTCATGCTCTGCTATTCTCTTATGGATGCTCTTGGCATCTCCCAAAAACCATAACAACACCCAGTCCCTCTATTCCAAGCAGGTGAAATTGCTGACCAGGGGCTGTGGCTCCTGTGAGTGTGGCGTGTGGTTGCAGCCCCAAAGATGGAGTTCTGAAAGCAGTGAAACAGAAGTGCCCTTTTCCTCATCTGTGCTGTCTCCAACAAGACACCTGCCTCCTTGCCTAGTGTGTATGTTCTTTAGGATGGAGAGGGCATTAAACATATTGAAACTGGCAGAGAGGAAAAAGAAAGGACAAATTGTTCTTACTAGTGCAGGCACAGACAGTAATGGAGGGAACCAAGATAAGGCCCAGGAAAAGAGAAAAAGGCATCCTTTGAGAACTTGTTTATAAAGTTGAAAGTGATGAAAGATGCTGACCTCTTGCCTTTGCTCTAGGATTCAGGTCAAAATTGCCTGCCTTTGTCTTGCTTCAGCCTGTGACAGCTTTGCTTACATCTCTGACATTGGTTGTGGCCACCACCTTATTTTTTCCTTTGGGCAATGGTTTCCCTCTTCTGAGAACTAAAATATTCTCTTTTGGAACAAACAAATTAAAAAAAAAAAAAACCTTATATGTGTGTGTGTGTGGAAAGGACAGAAACTTTTTTGCTGTCCATGGCCTCATTTTTCTGTGGGTTATGGCAATTCCCAGTCCATTTCCCTCCTTTTTCTCTGGGGCTATCCAGAACTTGTGTTAAGCCATCAGAGATGTGAAGAAGCATGTTGTTTTTCCCCAGATTCCTTCTTCAGAGCCCCTCAAGAATGTTGTGGAAGGCTGCTGGGAGCTAATATTGAGTGCAGTTCCCAAATTCCTTTTGGGGACTTTTTTCCTGTGGTTGTTTTAAACTTTTCCTTTCTTTGAGTTTCATTTCATAGCCTGTTTCCCAGCTGTCTCTGCCTTCTGCTCTTACCTGAACAGTCCAATTCCACAGCCAATGCAAATGTTCAGAGCAGGCCTGTAAATCAGTGTTTGTGTAAGTGATAGAATTATTTTTTTTAAAAAAATGTCTTTTATTTGCCTCCCCTTTTAACTTCTAATATACAGTTTTGTCCAAGAGATTGTAAAGGTTGTGAACTCACCTTCATTTTGTTTTTGTCTCAGAAAACAAAGTTGCTTATTTACTTTTGTGGCCCCAAACTGAAGCTTTATGAAGAACACAAAATATTTTTAGGTCTTTCATTCATATTACCATGTTTTATAGCACTCCTCTCTATACTGAGGAAAGTATTTTCTCTAAACTGCGAAAAGCAGTTTTCTTCCCTTTGCTGTTCTCAATGTTTCTCCTCAACTGTCAGCTCTGAGATGCTTTCATTTGGAGGGAAAAATAGATATGGTTCAAAATGGGGATTTTAAGTCACTGGGTTATGTTTACTTTGCTTCACGTCAGGCAACACCATGTACTGATACTCGAGCTAGCTTTAAATGTCCCTGCACGGCACAGCATATAAATATACTTACTTATGCCCTGGGAAGAGAAGTGGTTTGTTAGTTCCGTGATCCACCGGTGTTAATTAATTTGATTGCCAGATTTGTTAGACCTAGACCTAGTTATCTGTGCAGAACAATATTCTGCCTTGGATAGATGTGACTTGAAAGCCCAGCTTAACTTTTTCATGCAGAGATTTTGTGTCAGACCAGAAATAGCTGCTGCACCCATCTTTGCAGCTCTTTTTGTCTTTCTTCAGTATTTGATTTCTGTAGATATAAGAACTTTATCTTCTGCAGTCCTTTCTCCCTGGCACAACATTCCAGAAAGAAGACAGTATCGTCTTTCAAACAGCCACTGAAAATACATATTTCCCTTACTTGCTTATACCCCTCAGCTATTCTTTTGGTCTGCTATTATCTATGAACCCCACTCATATTACTGAATTCTATGTTGAAATTTTAAAGAAAATGCTGCAGAAAATAAAGCTATATTTTAAGTTAACAAAGGTGTAAACTAGGCATTTCTCTAGTCTGGCTTTTTTGGCTATCCTGAGATGGAGAGAAACCTCACATATTCCAGTGCTTAAAGGCAAGGAAAGATTCCTGAAAGCAGAGATGCTACCTGTCTTACACTGCATTGAATTATAGTCAACAGAAACTAAGAAGTAAACACATGAAGTTCATTCTACAGTGAGAGCAAAATGAAATTTGCTTTTATATATTATGCCCTGATTTGTTTGTTCAAGAAACAAATAGGATTTAAACAAAATTGAAAAAAAGAAAATATGCCTAATGGAGCAGAATTTTTGTTTCCTTGTTGTGGATAAAGCATTCATTTCCTGTTAAGAGGCTTCTATCCCTGTAAAAGAGTAAATACTAGACTCTGATCCATTGTTGCCCAGGTTCTTTGTTTCTCAGAGACAAAATATTTCCCGAACAGATAAGAGAAACAAGTTTGATTGACAGCTCTTAGCAGAGTCTCATCAGCTGCTGTGCTGACAGCCTGGTGATGCGCACTGTGCTGATGTGGTGGGGACTGACAGGTGATTGACAGCCCAAGACTGTGGAGACAGGAAAGATGAAGCATGCTCAGTAAGAATAATGTGCAGTGTTTATGCAGCACTGCAGAGAATAGGAGCTAGAAATTTAACTCTTTCAGGGAAAGTGCTACTTTAATGCATAATGAATGCAGTTGCCACTGTACAGAAAATTAGAGCTTGTCTACATTTCTCTTCTGTTCACTAAATGATTTCTTTCCATGGAGGAGCCATAATACTGTGAGGAAGCAAAAGCAAGAGGTATTACATTTGTAGCTGTAAAAAAAATTCATGTGTGGTAGATATGATGGAGCCCTCAAAATGGATTTATTTAAGCTTATAGATGTAAAATATATTGAGAATTTCAGGCACTTTTTATAGGCTTTCATCACCCAATTTTATATGGCACTGCATAATGTTACACAGTAGAAATTTCAAAAGGAACAATTTGAGCTTTTTGCTCTCCTTATCCCTAGGAAAATATAGTGAATTCAGTTTTATTGTTGCTTTGAATCTGTAGCTGATAATTGAATATGTATTTTCTGTTATAATTTCTACTGCAGTTTGTGTTTGGAATGTACAAGGTAACTATACCATGCTTTGCAT